GCATACCCAACTCATTTTAAAAAAATTTTGGCCGGGCTCGGTGGCTCAGCCTGTAATCCCGCACCTTTGAGAGGCTGAGGTGAGTGGATTGCCTGAGCCCGCGGGTTCGAGACCCACCTGGGCAGCGAGACCTCATCTCTACAATAAATCAAAAAATCAGCTGGGCGTGGTAGCATATGCCTGTAGTTCCGGATACTTGGAAGGCTGAGGCGGAAGCATCGCCGGAGCCCAGCGGGTCGAGGCTGCGGTGGCCAGGAGCAACCACTGCACTCCAGTCTGGGTGACAGAGTGAGACTTCAACTCAAAAAAAAAAAAAATTACCCAGGCAGGGTGGCACGCTCCTTTAGTCCCAGCTACCTGGGAGACTGAGACAGGAGTTGGAGGCTGCAGGGATCTATGACTGCATCACTGTACTCCAGCTGGACAACATTGTGAGACCTGACTCTAAATAAGAAAAGTGAAAAGTATCTCTCACTCTGAACCAGGCAGGCCCTCCGCTTATCAAGTGAGATCTCTCTTCATCCTCCTAACAACCCTCAGAGGCAGGCAGGATTATCATTCCGATTGTGAAAATAAGGAATCTGAGGGCCAGAGAGGCTAAGTAACCCAGAATCTCAGAACTGGGGCCCCTGGGCTATGAGGCCCCACCGCCTGAAGTCTGCTAGTCTGTTCTGCCTCCTGGGCCCGAGATTGGGTGTCCTGGCTTTGGGTGTCCTGGTTTTTTGTTTTGAATTGGAGTCTCACTCTGTCACCCAGACTGGAGTGCAGTGGCCGCTCCCGGCCACCGCAGCCTCAAACTGCTGGACTCTGGTGACCCTTCCACCTCAGCCTTCCATGTAGCCAAAATTACAGGCATGCGTTACCACGCCCGGCTGATTTTTTGATTTATTGTAGAGATGAGGTCTCGCCAAGTTGCCCAGGCGGGTCTCGAACCCGCGGTCTCAGGCAATCCACTCACCTCAGCCTCCCAAAGCGCGGGATTACATGTTGAGCCACTGAGCCCGGCTTGTACTCATTATTTCTAAAGTTTCTTTTTAAGTTCTGTTTCTTTGTCAAATTTCTCATTTTGCTCATGCATTGATTTCCAAATTTTATTTTCTCTCCATATTTTCTCAGTTCTCTGAATTTAAGAGGATCATTCTAAATTCTTTGTCATAATCCTCTTTAGTTGTACTGATAATTGTACATTTGAGAAAGTGACCACCTCTTCCAGTTTTTGCAAGTGCTTTCTGGAAGTGATAATCTTTCAATATTTAGTCTAACCTAGGATTTTGAATGGCCCCACTAACAGCAACTCTGGACGGGCAGATCTTGCCGTCAGTTCTCTACTTGGGCAGGGCTGCTATGTGTGCTGTAGATGGTGTGGAACTACTGACTGTGTTCTATTATCTGGCAGAACCACTGACCAGACTCAGTCAGGCAGAGCTGCTGGCAGGGTTCTGCAGTTCCATTGAACAGAGTTGCAGATTGTCTTTCCCGAGTGGTACACTTAAGAAGAATGTATATACTGTTGTTGTTAGAAGGAGTGTTGGACAGGACTGAGAATCTGAGATTTGGTAGGTCTATGAGCTGGGTTCTGAGGTTGGGTGAGGTCTCTGGAATCATCACTTGACTGCTGAGGAGAGGTGGGGCCAGATCCTCCTGTCCAAAGATATTTGTGGTCCTGCACTTGCCTCTTGGCCTTGGAAATGCTTAAGCAGAGTTCTGGGAGCTACCTATTGGAGCCACTGTTAGGGTCCTGAGGTTGGGCAGGGACAGACACTCCCTTCAACAAATATTTGTGAACTTGCACTTGCCTCCTGGCAAAGCTCAAGCAAAACCCCAGGGCTTGGTGGAGGTGCTGGCTAAGGACTCAAGCCTGTAGACCATGCTTCCTATAGAGCACTGCTGTGGGTTGACAAGTTTCTCTGGTGAAGCACTTCCATTGTCCAGAATTCAGAGATACTACCAAGATGAAGGCATTGATCACTGTGAGCCCCTTCCGCACTCTTTGTTTATAACTGACCCTAGGTGATCTGGCCCTACTGATACTCTCAATGTTCTGCATGGTGCAAACCAAGAGTGGGCATCATGTGAAGAGTCCCAGAATGGTAGGAAAGCTGAATATCTGCCTTCAACTCTTTTTCCACTGCAGAAATTGCAGGTTCTGGGAATTCCTCATTGTGTGGTACTGTGCCAGCTTGAGAGAGGGGTGATACTGTCCAAAAGAAACATTCCCTTTATCCTTCCAATGTAGCTTTTTTCAGTTCTATGGTATCAGGGACATCTCAGCCTTACTTCTGCCCTTTGGGATATTTATGAAAATATTCTTGTGAATAGTTCCTAGTTGGACCTTTGTGAGGGGGTCTAGAACCGAAGACCTTCTATTCTGCCATCTTGCTGACATTACTCCAGATACAAGCTATTAATATATAACAATTAGGGTGAATCTCCAGAGAATTATGCTGAGTAAAAAAAAATTTTTTTAAAGCTGTACTCAAACATCATATACTGTATGATTTCATTTATATAACATTTTGAAATGACACAATTGTAGAAATGAAGAACAGATTAGTGGTCACCCTGGTTCAAATATTGGGGGAAGGAGAGAGGTTAGTGTGACCATAAAAGGGCATTATGAGGGGTCCTTGGGGTGACAGGACCAGTCTGTATCTTGACTATCAACATTAATATCCTGTTTTTGTTTTTGCAAAGTGTTACCATTGTGGAAACTGTTTACAGTGGGAGGGTTACTCTCATCCCAATACATTTTGGTATAGTATCTTTGAGTTTTCTATTTGTTTGTTGCTAATATATACTTTTTTTTTTTTTTGAGTTGGAGTCTCACTCTGTTGCCCAGGCTGAAGCGCAGTGGCACACTCACAGCCACCCCAGCGTCAACCTGCTGGGCTCTGGTAATCCTTCTGCCTCAGCCTTCCAAGTAGCTGGAACTACAGGAGCATGCTATCATGCCTGGCTAATTTTTAATTATTGTAGAGACGAGATCTCACCAAGTTGAGTTTAGATCCTGTGATGTTATGAAATTTCCATATTAGTTCTAGTATTTTTTTGTATATTCTTAAGAATGTATTACTCTATCAGTCTCTCCAACATTGACTTTTGTCTCAGATAGGATCTGACTCATGTCATTTGTATTTCCCAGTTATATCCAAAAGAACAGGTTCTGTTCAGGAGTAGACCAGAAGAGTGAGACATTCTCTCTGAAATGTTTTCTCTTAAAAGATGACTAAAGATACCCTGCTCTTCCTTCCCATCTGTCTGAATTCTACATAGATAGGGACACAGTGATGTTGTTTCCCCTCATATGTCTGTTGAGTAGTCTCACTGACTGCAAATGGTTTATGCATCATCTTTATCTTGTGTGTAATATTTGTTAGTTTCTCTCCTTTTTGAGTGGGCTTTTCTATACTTTATGTTTATAAGAGGAACAGAGTCCAGAATAAAATGTGTTTCTCCTCATCTTATAATCTCTTGACAGTTCTCATACTTTCTGCACATAACATTGCAATCCGAGGTTAAGGCACAAACCATCACCTCCTCTTCTAGTTATTTCTCTGCTTATTGTGGCTCAGTAGCCATCCAGGAAGACTGGCTGGAGAATTTTGTGAGGTCATGTTGTGAATGCTGGTAACTGTGTAAATCACCACTCTCGAGGACAAGGTATTGAGCAGGAACAGCTGCTGTTAATTCCTGTCATGACACCAATGTCAAAATGACACACATTCTCCCTTAACTTCTCTTCCAGGAAAAACAAAAACAAAAACAAAACTCCTTCTCCTCGGGAAAGAGTATAGGAGTAAAAAAATAACACCAGCATGCCAGCCATGACCTACGGTCATCATCTGTCATCTTCCAACAGCTTACAATACTAAAAATAAAAGGTTTGCAACATTCTAGAATGGCGCTGTTACAGCGTCATCATAAAGGTAGCGGCAAACAAGGCTGCCTGCCATTCGGGGACTTTCTAAAAGCCCTGCTGCAAACCACAAAAAGGAAAATGTCCTGCCAGCTGAGCTCGATGACTCAGCCTGTAATCCCGTGCCTTGGGAGGCTGAGGTGAGTGGATTGCCTGAGCCCGCGGG